TTCACAATATTTGTTCTTCCAGTCCATGAGCATGGAATGTTTTTCCATTTCTTTGTGTCGTCCTCAATTTCTTTCATGAGAATTCTATAGTTTTCTGAGTACAGATCCTTTACCTCTTTGGTTGGATTTATTCCTAGGTATCTTATGGTTTTGGGTGCAATTGTAAATGGGATCGACTCCTTAAGAGAAGCCAAACTTTCTAATTAGCTTATAAACTGATAACAGAAAAAATGGAAATTTACTGGATAAATTTTGATAAAAACTTTTGTATAATTGGTAGGTGGGATTGGATAGTATCCTGATTAGTTCAGCTAAGCTACAATGTATTCTTCCCATTTGGACCCCATCCTTTTGTAAGATATTTTTTTAGCTACATCAGCCCTTGTAACCAAGTATCGAAATAAACTGAACCTAGAACCAAATCTTGGAATTGCAAGTCACTAAGAATTAAATTTATAAAGCTTAGTCAGTCACCTTGCTCTTGTTAAAATATTATTAATATTTTTAGTAAAAGTAAAATAATAAACATTTTAAAAAAGTATATCTTATTTTAGTATATTCTTTTAATTTTATGTATTTTATAGTACAGATAATGTTAATTTAATAGTATGTACATATTAAGTATCTACACATTGGGGTTATTTACTGAAAGACTTTTCCCTCATTGGGTGTGCAGTCAGAACATTTGGATATCACTAGATTAGATGGTGTCTAGGATTTGTATGTTATTTTATAGTTTATAAAATGCTTTTGCAAATGTGTTCTAACTTGAACCTCATCAACAAACTTTGATTGCAGAGAGGTGTCATCATGTCCATTTTATAGATGAAGCATTATACCTATATTACAGAGGAAGAACTCAAGGTCAAAGTATTTAAATGACTTGTCCAAGGTCATACAAACTTGTTAATAGTGGCTTCTGAACTCCAAACAGGTCTTTTTACTATATGGTGCTCTTTCCATTCATTTTATATATTGCTGTTCTATTGGTCATTCTCCATGTTTTGATTTCCTGCCCTAATCTGTCTGTTATTTATTTTTCAGAACCCTCAGGTAATTGCTTTTTGTATGTTGTCTAGAGTTTTTGGTTGTAATCAGTGAGAGAGAGAGAGAGAGAGACTGTACTAGTGAATTAAGAAAGACTGGGAGCAAAGGATGGAAGCCAACCAGAAAGACAGTATATTAATGATGGAAATATAAATTGTACTAGATGGCCCAGAAGTCACATGAATACATTTGATGTGGAAAGCCATGCAGAAGAACCATAGAAATATAGTGCAGGCAGATAGATCATTTGAATATTGGCATGAGGGCAGACTAGAGATGATTGGTTGTGGAAAATATAGATTGTGGGTATGTATGATGTACATGTAGTTCTGTGCTATAGTAAAGTTGGCATTAATAAGCATAATGAATTAAGAATTGTGGGATTTAGTTTATCATTTTTCATTTTAATAAAACTTCATATAACATGTAGCCTTCTATTTTGATCTGTCAGTACACAACAACAAAAAGAACAAAATTGAAGAATTCTGTATAGGAATGAAAAGTTAAAGGTTGTTTGTCTGCTAATGGATCTATAGATAAACTAGGTTTAATATACTAAATTGAATATGACTGGATCAGAAAAGTGACTTTAAAAGTATAGCACGACCTCAGTGTTCATAGCAGCAATGTCCACAATAGCCAAACTGTGGAAGGAGCCGAGATGCCCTTTAACAGACGAATGGATAAAGAAGATGTGGTTCATATATACAATGGAATATTACTCAGCCATCAGAAAGGATGAATACCCACCATTTGCATTGACATGGATGGAACTGGAGGGGATTATGCTAAGTGAAATAAGTCAAGCAGAGAAAGACAATTATCATATGGTTTCGCTTACATGTGGAACATAAGGAATAGCATGGAGGACATTAGGAGAAGGAAAGGAAAAATGAAGGGGGTGGGAATCAGAGGGGGAGATGAACCGTGAGAGACTATGGATTATGGGAAACAAACTGAGGGTTTCAGGGGGGAGGGGGGTGGGGGATGGATGAGCCTGGTGATGGGTATTAAAGAGGGCACATACTGCATGGAGCACTGGGTGTTATACACAGTGAATCATGGAACACTACATCAAAAACTAATGATGTACTGTATGGTGACTAACATAACATAATAAAATTTAAAAAATGAAAAAAAAAGTATAGCATGGTTTCAGACATCATTTTCTAGGCTACAATCAGTGCCATAATCCAAGAAGACAGAGATGTATTTAACAAATTAAAATCTGGTTTTAATGAAAGTATGTTTTTACATATGTACAGCTTCTGGGCTATTTCATATTATAAATTCAAGGCATGGCTTGATCCTCTCTCAGTCTAGTGGTAACATCTGGAAATACTATGCATCACTAAAACTTTCATAGGAATTTTGTGAGTTTTGAAATATTGCATATATGATTATAAAGTTCCCTTAGTATTCACTGGCATATTAAACTAAGATGTCACTGAGGTGTATATTATTGTTAATAATATGTTAATAATCTGCAGATAAAAGACTCCCTTCAGTTCAAGTGAATATAGTTCTTCCTTCTAACTGTTCATGATGCCATTGATCTTTTGTGCTCACAGGAGAAAACTGAAAGTGGTACAATTAAAATTGTAACCAATGTCTGATCTTCTGAAACTTACAATAGTTTCAGTGGCTTAGAAGATGTTAGGGAATAAGTTGGTGATCTATCAAGTCAGAGAAGCTGGTGAGGCATTAAGAATCCTCTAGCTAGGGGTGTCTGGGTGGCTCAGTCATTGGGCATCTGCCTTCGGCTCAGGTCATAATCCCAGGGTCCTGGGATTGAGCCCCGCATCGGGCTCCCTCCTCAGCAGGAAGCCTGCTTCTCCCTCTCCCACTCCCCTGCTTGTGTTCCCTCTCTCGCTGTCTCTCTCTGTCAAATAAATAAAATCTTTAAAATGTTAGATGATGGATTAACTTCGGTGGTTTGGAAGGTGTTGAAGATGTTAGAGAATTGGAATGGCAGGTCCTACAGGCTATTAGTTTACAGAACCGTGGCCTTGGAGTCAGACCAGCTGGTCTGATATCAGCTGGGCTCCTGATGATAGTACTTGCTGCTGCTGCTCTGATCCTGGTCTGTTAATCACTGTTACATTTCTTGAGGATTTATAAAAGATTTCTTAGACTAAGAAAAGACTTTAGATTTGATTCACACATAAAACCAATAGTTGTTTTTAATACTCTGAGTTTCTGTGGACATTAACTTCTTTCTTTTTTTTAAAAATTGTATTTATTTATTTGAGAGACAGTGAGCGAGAGAGCACAATCAAGGGCAGAGGCAGAGGGAGAAGCAGGCTCCCCGCTGAGCAGGGAGCCTGATGCAGGGCTCGATCCCGGGACCCTGGGATCATGACCTGAGCCAAAGGCAGACGCTTAACTGACTGAGCCACCCAGGCACCCCGACATTAGCTTCTTTAGTTAACACTTCTCATCTTAAAAAATGAAATATTATCTTATGATTCTTAATTAAGTACATCTATATCATCCTTTAATTGGCAATTAGCTTTTGGCAGCAGTAGTTTTAAGTGTGTGTGCATGCTTTGGGGTTATAGGCACTTGAGTTTGAATCCTGGCTCTACCGTGTACAAGATGTATAACCTTTGGAAAGTTATGTAAACCTCTTTAGACCTCTGTTTCTTACCTCTATACGAACGTGATAATATATACCTCATAGGGTTAATGAAGATAGAAAGGTAATGTTTGTGAGGTGTATGGGGATGTGGCATAGCAGGTACTCAATAAGTATTCCTTTTCTTTCTGTGTCAGTTTTAAATTTTCATTCTGTGTCATGGATAAAGAGAGGAAAACTTGTGCAAATTACTCACTCATTCACTTGATATGGTTGGTCTAGAGACCATTTGCAATGCAACAGTCAGAAGGATATGGTATTTGCTGCTGTAAGTTTCTGTCATTTCTAAAATTAGTTCACCCATTTCTTAGGTACCAACTGGTATTGCCACATCTTTAGAAGGTGAACATTTAGTTTTCTATGGCCCTGAAATGACTTTCAATGTGTGGCCAGGAAATGGAGAGAGAGGAGCGGGTGAAAGCTATAAAAAGAATAAAAGGAATAAATAAAGTTTGTTGTGGTCATCCCCACCCAACAAATCTTTCAAAAGTAATCTAAGTAACATAAGCTTTCTCCAAAGAATTGGAAAGATTTAAAAAAGAAAATTAAAAAATTTTTTCATCTTTCCTTTTTTTGTTTCTCCAGCCTCTGTTCCGTCCCTCACCCACCTTTGTCGTTTGGAAATTCGGTCCACTGTAAAACCAGAACACCTACGGTCTGACAGTTTTATCTGTCAGTTGCCACTTCCCAGAAGCCTACATAATTATTTGCTCTATGCAGAGGTTCTGAGGATGAATGAAGTTCCAGAACTGGCAGTTACTCAAGATGGAGAAATCAGCGAAGCTACTTAATGCAGCTCATGTCTTACTCTGAAAACCACCAAAACAAAGAGCCATGCAGTACAAATTCTTCATGATTTTATAGTCATAAAAGATGATTTTTATGTGGTTGGTTAGGTTTGGGGGGTGGCAGTAGTTTAATGCACATGTTTACAATTGGGTTTCCTGGTAAAAGAATACTGTAAACCTCACTTATGTTACTTTATTACAGATTCATCACCAGCACATTTTTGTTACAGATTCATTTACTGAACCATTTTTTGCTTTATTCTGTGATGCTGCTTCTAGTGCTAACCGTGGCATATTTCCACCTATGATTCTGTGTTTGCCTAGGGCTAGGAGCTTAGAATGGAATGCGTAAAACTTTCCTGGAAGTGCACACACAATGGGGTTGAATCTATTATTATTACTTTATTTGAGGTTGACTATCTTTTATGTTTATAAAAAACTATTTTATATTCCATTCTCATCTCTTAATTCAGTCAGTTTTATGAAGAATTTCTACTCATTGGCTTTTCACAGATAAACTCAGGGGAGAACTTTTTTTTAAAAAAAGAAAATGGAAAATGAATAATTTTGTTGTTATTGTTGGTCCCCCCCCCCCAGTTCCTTGGTACTCTCTTTGGCTGAAAAAAACTCCCATTTCTGCAAAGGCAAGAACAGACTTAAACTCAAAAATAGGCTCAGTTGAAAAAAATTAGGTCAGTATTGAAATAAAGGAGCATTTTACCATATTTAGAATACAAATCAGGAGACTGAGAGGGGAAGAAAGCTATGTATTTCTGAGTCACTTAGTATCAAATAAAACATTCGAGCTCCATTCAGCCTCCAAATCTGAGGGCAGCTTTGATCCTATGAATGATTGCCAGTTATATTAATATTACCGTGTTCTTCCTTTTATTATCTAGGTAGGTTGTCACATAGTCCTTGATCCTATGAAATTTAGACCTCAGAATTCTAGGTTAATGAGATACCACCTTATTGGTTTTCCAGATGCTCAATATGAATCTATGGTCAGAGAGGACTAAACACTGGATCAGGTGAGCTGTGGTAAGATGCTGTCGGGACCAACCTTAAAAGAAAGTTTATGAAAGCATTACTGTCATGATAGACAGCTAGAAATTGGGTCCACAGGAGGGGCAAGTCTTCTGTCCTAATGGGATACTGTGGCCTGAAATAGATGGGAATGTGTCAGCCAAGTCCATCCCTGATAGGCCTTTGCTGTTTGATACAAGCAGTGATGAAGACAGACCAAATGATGGAGCCTTGTTAAGGTCCAGGGGGATGACTGAACTCGGTGCAAGTTAGAGCTGTAGTTGCTGCCTGTGGGTGGAGATAGAGTTTGAATGTGGGTATATAGCAGAAATTAGTGTAGATATGGAAAACCAGGTGGAAATTCTGATACTTAATAAAGAAATTCCAAGAATGTATTTACCATGTAGTAGTTTTTAAATGTTGTTCTAATCTTTATTTTTCCAAACCCTAGGTCTCCAATTTTGAACATAACTGGTTTATTATTAGGGCCAAATGCACATAGAATGTTTACATTTGAGGGTGAGTCTTCTCATGTGTTTTTGTTCATGTTCAAATGTGTAATAAAAATTAAACTATCCATAACATCATTGAGCTCTTGTTCTTAAAAATCTGAAAATGGGTATTTCAGAGACTTTAAAAGCCCCTGCTATTTCAAACATGAATAATTTTACTTACTGTATACAATGTATCTTTTAGATTACTTTATAATAAAATATTTATGACTTTTATGACTTATGGCAAGGATTCAGTGAGAGATCTGAAAGTATCTACAGGTAGTGAGTTATAGTTACAACTTTTTTAAGATTTTATTTAAGAGAGAGTGCGAGAGAAAGCACAAACAGGGGGTGGGGCAGAGGGAGAGGGAGAAGCAGACTCCCTGCTGAGCAGGGATCCCGAAGTGGGGCTCTATCCCAGGACCCTGGCATCATGACCTGAGCCAAAGGCAGACGCCTAACCAAATGAGCCACCCAGGCGCCCCTGTAGTTGCAACTTCTGAACTAAATGATACCTCTGGTTAGTGTGAACCATAAGCTCTGCCCTACATGAACAATGGTGCTTTAATACTCTCCATTTTTATTTATTATTATTATTCTAAAAATATTTGTGGGTTTTTGTTTTTTTAATACTCTTATTTATTTATTTTTAAAAAGATTTTATTTATTTATTTGATAGAGAGGGAGAGAGACTCGAGAGAGGGAGAGAGGGAGAGAGCGAGTATAAACAGATGGAGCAACCAGGCAGAGGGAGAAACAGATTCCCTGTCGAGCAGGGAGCCTGATGTGGGACTTGATCCCAGGACCCTGGGACCATGGCCTGAGCTGAAGGCAGACGCTTAACAGCCTGAGCCACTCAGGCGCCCCTAGTACTCTCATTTTAAAGTCACAGAGAACTGCATGAAGAACCCTGTAGTACCATAGTTCTCTAATGGTACTTATTACTAGAGCAGGATACAGATCAGTTTTAATAACAGTTGTCAAGATTTCACACACACACACACACACACACACACACACACACACACAAAATGATCCTGTATTATCCTTTAAGTTTATTTCCTGTTGGTACTTCCTGTCATAGGGTGTTTTCCCATGATCATTTAATGGAACAGTGGTAACCTGAACATTGTTTCTTTATAATATAAACATATATTTCTTCATATTATAAACATATATGTTTATATATATATTATATAATATAAACATATATAAACAAATATAAAAAGTTTCCTTTTTGCCTAGTAGCAAGTGTCTTAGTATGCACCTTGCTGGTGGCCCTAGTTCCCAGAGATGAGTTACACTCCTTTTGTGTTCCATGACCACCCATGTCAGTGATAATCCTTGATAGACAGCCTAGGTGGCATATTTATGTCACATGACCAGTTGATACCTCTAACTTTAGATCTGTTCTTCCCACCTAAGGCCATCTATCTGTAAGCCTGTGTGAAAATCATGATGTTTTATAGATCTTCAAGTATTATGTCAGGTATAGCTTGAAAACATGAGTGTTTTTGACTGAGTACTACCTAAAATTCTACTATAATTTTTTGGTCCTCAAAAATGTACCATGAATAATAACTAGTACAAATGTAAATAACCACGTCTCTGAAAAGGTGACTTGGTAGTTCCATGAGCATGGGATATAGAAAGAAGTCGAGAAAATCCATCTAAAAGTTTGCCTTTCACTTTTATACTCCTCTGTATTCTCAAAGGTATATTCCCCTAATTATATTCCTTCATTAGTCATAGAAATATTTGTTTGAGGGGCGCCTGGGTGGCTCAGTTATTGGGCGTCTGCCTTAGGCTCAGGTCATGATCTCAGGGTCCTGGGATTGAACCCCGCATCAGGTTCCCTGCTTGGTGGGAGGCCTGCTTCTCCCTCTCCCACTCCCCCTGCTTGTGTTCCCTCTCTCGAGGCTGTGTCTCTCTCTGTCAAATAAATAAATAAAATCTTAAAAAAAAAAAGAAATATTTGTTTGAAAAGGAACTTTCTGTACAATTTTTACCAGTGGATGCCTAGTGCTATTGTGGGAAGATTTTAAGTTGCTGGTGAAGTTGCTAGTAATGTGGCCATTTTCAGTTTTATGATCAAGTATTTTATTTTTAATTATAATTTTAAAAGATTTTATTTATTTGAGAGAGAAAGAGCACGAGTGGAGGGCAAGGGGGGGAGAGGGAAAAAGCAGGCTCCCCACCGAGCAGAGAGCCTGACGTGGGGCTCGATCCCAGGACCCTGGGACGACGACCTAAGCCCAAGGCAGGTGCTTAACTGACTGAACCACCCAGTTGCCCCTATGGTCAAGTGTTTTAGATCTAACAATTTAGGAGAATAACCAGTAAAACTGTACACTACCTTCTTTCAGTTTTATGAGTTCATCCTTTATATAAAGCAAATGGAGGCTCTGCCCACTGGCTTCATCCAAATACTCAATTTAAAGAGGATCTTGAAGCTAAAGGGATCTCTCTAGAGCTTTTCCTGTGAACTGGGAACATGATAATAGTACCATTATTTCCCCTGAATTCTTGTACTAGAATGCTTCCCTCCTCCCTTCTCTCTTATCCCAGGCAGCTGGTCACATATAACTAAGTATCAAGACTAATGTATAGATGAGAGCCCATACCAAGTGATTCCATTACTCATGGTTCTATATGACCTTGGGGTAGTTAGCTGAAAGATAATTGAGAAAAGAGTACTATATTTTATTTAGAGCTAATGTTGGATTTCTGAGTCTACCTGCATACTCTCCCTAGGAGAGAATAAAATAAACCTGGCCCATGTTTGAGGGTGTAGAGACTATCATGATAGTTTTAAAAACATTTTTTTTCCTACCCTTTTCCATATTTTAACAAAACATTTTAGGAAAATTTAATATTCCTGTGTGTGACTGTTGTGGTTTCCTGTTTTGCTTTCTCTTTCATTGTTTTTCTCTTTGATGCTAAATTAATCTATCCTCATCTGTATTTATTATTATTACTATTATTATTATTAAATGACAGGCAGCCATTGAAATACAGTACTTTGCAGTAAGTAACCTTTGGTTACTTGGTAGATAAATACAATTTATTTTTAAGATTTATTTATTTGAGAGAGAAGGAAGGAGCATGAGTGTGGGAAGGGCCAGAGGGAGAGGGAGAGTGAGACTCTCAAGCAGACTTCCCGCTGAGCATGGAGTCTGATGTGGGGCTTGATTTCACAATCCTGAGATCATGACCTGAGCTGAAACCAAGAGTTGCACGCTTAACCAACTGAGCCAACCGAAAAATATAGTTTTATTTGCAACCACATGTCAATAATTTATACTGAGAGGAGGCTAGTCTGGATTATATTTTTATGGAAATGTATACTTTGAAACATACTTTGGGTGCAGATTTTAAGTCTGTATCTTATGTAGTTGCTATAGTGATAAAATATTTAAATTTTACTATTTAATTTTAATTTTAATTTTTTTAAAGATTTTATTTATTTGACAGAGGGAGACACAGCGAGAGAGGGAACACAAGCAGGGGGAGTGCGAGAGGGAGAAGCAGGCCTCCTGCCGAGCAGGGAGCCCGATGTGGGGCTCGATCCCAGGACCCCGGGATCATGACCTGAGCCAAAGGCAGACGCTTAACGACTGAGCCACCCGGGTGCCCCAAAACATTTAAATTTTAAATAAAAGGACACCTATTAACCTCTCCCTATGCTAGTAAAAATCTTAAAAAGATTCTCATATAGTAATACCAATAGCACACTTTAATTGTTTCACTTTAAAAGAAAAAAATATTTTAAAACTAGGCAGAAGAAGGGGGAAGGGAGATAGAGCCATAGTCTTATCATCTGGGCCCAATATTAATGTTGACCTATATATTGAAATATTTTCCTTCTCTTAGGCTTTTTAAAAATCTGTACACAAGTTTGAGGAGTGTTTTTTTCCCC